CCCCAAAACCCCAAAACCCCAAAACCCCAAAACCCCTTATATATATTTACAGATTGAAACTTGGCATTTTAGAATACCTTGGGTTACTTTTCTTGCTCCTTTTTACACAATTTAGAGTCCTCCTTTTAGCATGGTTTTTAGCTACCTTTGATGAGCTACCAAGTTAGACAAAACTTTACAGTTTTGGAGAAAGGTTGTATATCTCACAAGAGTCGTTTTGGCTTTCTTCATGATTCTCCACAGGAGAATCAAAACTGATCGCTTGTTTGTCAAGACTTGACCTAGAGATAATTTACCACTGTAATTTACTTCTTCTGTCCTGGGTACATGCACATGCTCCAATAAGCCATGAACTTCCTTTTGATTCTTCCTAAAAAATTAGAGATCAGAATTACTCGAAGATCTTTTGGTGTCCTTTTTCTGGTCAAATCTGATTTCTTTCTTGTTAAGAAGCTTGTCGGCTTGAATTTTCCCTGAGATTTAGTATGAAACTTTACTTTTCTTTAAGAGGTGGAAACTAGGATGTTCCCTCCTGAGGTCAATTTTCAGTGCTCTTTGTGACCTGCTTTCACTAAAATCAGCTTTTGAAGGACTTCTAGTGATGGAGATCTGAGAGCTGGAATGAATACAAGAGTGGTTGTCAAGACAGTTCTCGCTCTGCTGACTTGCAAGAATCTCTATACCAATATGAACTTAGAGTACCTTGGTCCCTTAAGCTCTTCAGAATGAGGTTTAAACATTTCTTCTTAGGCTTCGCCTAGGTATTTTAGGGATATCTTACTGGAGAAAATAACGAATTATTCTCATGCCTCAGAATAGGCATTTTAATATCAGAATTTACACAACTTGTTCCTACGCCTTTCTGATAGAATCCTCTTTGTACAACAGGATCGAGACTCTCGTTTTCTTGGAAAATAAACGAGTCTTGGGTCTTTGGCGTTGAGACCAAGACTGATGGATAGTCATAAGAGTTCTGAAGTGTTAATCCTCTTTTGTTAGTTCATATTTGAACACTCTTTTGAGAGTAGGAATCATTAAGAATTTTGATATTCTGATTTGAATGATTGTTGTCCTCGTAGTGATAATTTGAATCAAATCTATGAGCAACAGAAAATCACGAGCCTGGCCTATATTTAAATTCAGTTTGATCATAAGGCAAGCATACGTGAAGATTGGGGATTTGGACAGGATTTTGTATGGGGTTGAGTGCTGGGGGATAGAGGAGTGGAGGGGAGAGGTGGGAATGGAGAGGGGTTGGAGTGTTGGGGTAGGAAGAAGAGATTGGGAGGAGTTTAAAGGGCTGGATTGGAGATCTGAAGGTGTTTTGGGAATGGGATAGAGAGAATTGGGACTTGCTTGGATGTGTTTGTAAGGAGTGAAGCTGAGGAGATCTTCTATGGATATCTTTTCAATCATTTATAAAAGAGTTGGGGTTTTGGGGTTTTGGGGTTTTGGGGTTTTGGGG